ACATAATGTGAATTACCTAACAAAGGTGGTCCTGTTGATGAGTTGACGACGGTGATGAAGCGGAGCGCAGGGCGCCACTTCCATTACGGCCTCCGGAATACCCTTTCCAAAGGATGCGGAAACCAGCACCAGAAGGTTGCTTTCTGTCCGGGCAGCAGGACGACTTTGTAGCTCTCAGGAGTTTATGCACTTGGATAAAGATTCTGGATGCAATATGCTTAATATGATCAAGAATGAATACTCAAGCAGTAGTCAAAGGGTATTCCCACTTCGGGAAGCCAGATCTTTGCGATTTCGCATCTTCTTTTGACGGGTTTGCTTCCGTTTCCGCTTCTTGTGCTATTTTGGCCAAAGACATTTCATTCTTTCCTTGCCAGCGACAGAAAAATTACCCGAATTTCATTTAACGCTCCAACTTTGTCACCAGGACCAACCAACAAGGACACTCGCACACACACTTCCCTGCTGCGTTGAGTTTGTTAATGTGTTTGCATAAATTTGCAGGAGTGCCAGGCAGGAAAGTGCTGAGAGTGGGATGTGCTTAGGTCCTGAGTGAATGGTTATGGAAAACCTGAGCAGCAACAAGGACATGGCGAAAGGTTTGGCTTTGGGGCCACACGGCAAGAAAGCAGAGGCGCAATAAAGTGGCAAGCGAAATCTGCAGCTCGTTTGATTTAAGACTTGTGAGACTGGAACTTCTATGCAGAGCTGGCTTGAAAGGATACAATTATCCAAAAAGGAAACATTAGTTTTGTTTCATAAATTCCTTGCTCGCCTTCGCACTGGGGTGATATTTGATCTGCATGTGGCAGGGCTGCCATTCGAGCGGACAATCCAATTCCTTTGGAGTCGACTGGCAAAGGACTGGCCGTGGGCATTAATCAGACTAAGCGCACCCGTGCTCCCAGTTGCAACTGCTCTGTGCTGGAAATTGGATTGTTAGTTTTGAAACAGTGTGGTCCACGTGTGGAGGTCGGGTTACCTGCATCACCAGCCACTCACCTGTGACGAGGGCTGGCTGCTGGAAAAGAGAGAGTTCAGCTGTCAACGGGTTCACAGCTGCCCGCATGCTGAGTTGGAGCTGGGTTGCTGGGTTGCTGGGTGTCACGGGTTAAGTGCATGGGAGTATCACCATTAACCCCCTGCAGTCCACTGTCCGTTTTCCGCCCGTTTGTCGTAATGCATTAGCCCTGTCCAACCAAAGTACGGACCGGACCCGGACCCGGACCCGGACCCGGAATCAAACAGTGCTCCTATTCCCCCGGCGGCTCCATTTCCTGTTGTCGCACAGCAAAGCCCCTGGCGAAAGAGCCCGACTTAGAGGTCCTTTGCTGGCTGGGGTTCCGTTTGACTTGCTGTGGCCTTTATGAATAATTGAAGCCAGCCAGCACCCTCGCACCCTCGCAGCCCAGGAGCGCGGACGTCAATTGTTTATTTATTGTTCGATTGGAATGGTCCCTGCACTGGCCAACCGCGGCACTTGCAAATGCAAAATTCATGGTCTCTTTCAGTGCTTTTGTCAGGGCAAAACTCGTAAACCATGTTTATGCGGGGTTAGAGATGGAAGGGAAATAAACTAGTGTGTATGGAAATAGAAGCCACTGTTCCGCATCTCAAGCACACATTTATCCACTTCAGAGCTTAAGCAATTTGATGCAAATCAGCACAAACTAAAGCCTAAGAACCCTCCATAAACTGTGGCCAAATCCGCACTAATCGTGCATAGTGGCGCATGATCCCCGGCTCAAAAGTGGAAGTCACACCTCCATGTGGTCGGAGTGGCAATTACTCTGCTGCTCTGCCATTATGTGCTCATCCAGCCTGTACACTGGATACGGGATGCTGGATCCTGCCCCACATCTCCACCCAGTCCATTGTGCTTGTTGTGTCTGTTGACGTTTGGTCTCGCCTCTGAGAAATTTTTATGGCTCATAAAATTTGAAATTAGAACTGCTGCTGCTTCCTGTGTCTGCTGTCTGAAATATATGGTGTTCTTGTAGTCTTGTACTTCTGTATTCCTGAACAGGAAATGTGCCTTTGTGCGGAGCATAAAATCGTAATGCTCTGCTCATCGCCTTTTGAGCGCACGGAAATCTGGACCCGCCATGTGGATTTTCTTTTCGGAATTAGTATTACATCTAAATGGCGTATAATTTGTTAGCGCCATAATATTTATGCGAGCTGTGGCCGCTCACATTTATTTATGTTCACTTCGCTGCCTCTTTTTTCCGCGGAATTTTCCCCAGTTGACAATCAAGCCCACTTCCTGCGAATCGCGTTTAATTTGCGTGCTACAGGCACTCGGCTGCCAGGCTGCCACAATGCCACAATGCAGCGGCCACGGGGCGTATGCGCAATCTACGCGTTTCCTTGCTCAACGACTCTCGGGAAAACAATCATATAGTTGTGTTGCTGTGCTGTTTTTCCGCCGCCTAGGTGCGGAAATTTTTAATTGCCGACCTAAAGCGAATTTGAGAGCTCGACTTTCTGTTGTAGCCAACAATCCAGTCCGGCAGCCCGATTACGCCAACTCGCTCCTCTGATTTTGGGCATAAAGTGCGCGACCTTCAGTTCTGTGGAAGGGAAAGTGCGCCACACAGAAATAACATTATTCAAAGAAAACATTTTCCTTGCTCTCGGAAAACGTAAAAGCAGTGAAGAGCACAAAGCAATGGGAAGCGTAGGGGAAAAATAAATAAAAGACCATGGCGAAATTCGTTTCCCAGGAGGATATCTCAGATTTTTAATAAGCATCTGCGGCTCACACGGAGCAAAAATGTGCTCAAACTATTGACTGATTGCATTGTAGTTTTGCCAGGAGCTCGTTAATAATTAAACCAATATTGCGAACATTTTAAGCCGCCTAAGCATCAGACTGACATATTTGAATAATTCATTAATTTGAATGGCTAAGTGGGCAAATACTATTTGAATATTTGATTCGAACAGTGTGCACGAGCATGGTGCTACCATTGATTTCGTTCTGTATACTTTGTCTATACCTCGTTGGTTGCTATAATTTCCCAACTCATCCCATCGAGCTCATCATCATTCATCGTATTGCTGAATGTCGGGCGCTAATCACTGGATTTTCTACTTCCGTTTCAGCGTTTCCCCGGAAAAGCGGAGCGGGGAAATGGGCGCCGGCGACCTGACCATCCGCCCAAATCAGCGGCGGGGCACGGTGCGGATGCGTGATGTACTCGTCCTGGCCTTTGACAACTGAATGAAATGAAAATGAAAATGGCCAAAGGTAGCTGAGCAACAGCAGCAGTTACTGCGAATCGATAACCGCAGCACACAAAGTGCTGATCAGCCAATCAAGGCGAGCAACTAAGCGATATAGGGGTGCACTCAAAGCGTGCCCAAAAAAAGGAAAGGATACAGAGCCCCGAGCCCCAGGATGCGGATGTGGATGCGGATGCCGCAGGCTGTGCAGCTGCTGTTTGCGATGGGCTTGTGGGCGATGCAAGGTCACGCGCAGTTGGATTCAGAGCCCGAGGCAGTCGGAGCAGTCGGAGCAGCTGGAGCAGCCGGAGCAGCCGGAACAGCAGGAGCAGCGGGTCCTGGACCCCCACCACCACGGAACCGCATCAAGGCGGAAGCCGATGCCCTGATGACGGGCGACAGCTTCAACATTCGCCACGGGCGCTCTCGGTCGCATTTCCTCCATGGCAGCGCAAACAGTAGCAACGCCATTGGGAGTGGCGGCGGGAGCACCCGCCTCCTCCTGATCCCGCCCACACAGCTGCCGGGCATGGGCGGCACCTCCCCGGCACCCGTCACGCACAAAATCCGCAAACTGCACAAGAAGAAAATCAACGAGAGCATACGCAAGAGTGTGGACAAAAGCCTGGGCCTCCGCCATCCGCCAAAGAACCACCGCAGCTTGGCCGAGGCCGAGCACCTGCAGGGTCGTCCCACCAGCGAGGACACCGAGGACACGGCTCTCAACGAGGTCATGCAGCTTGCGGATGAGATTGAGCTGGAGAGCTCGTACGTTACGGCGGCCCCAACAGGTGATCCGGATATTGGTGTTAAACAGGCGCGCCAATTTGTGCGTGATGAGGCCAATTACCAGGCGGATGATGAAGACACTATGGACGACGAGGAGCTCGATGAGGAGGAGCCTCCGGTGTCCACCACCGCCAAGCCCAAAATCGCCAGTACCCGCCTGCTGCCGGTGAACAGCACTTGGCAGCGAATGAGCACCATAACGCGGGACTCCCCCTCGGAATCGGATTACGATACCAATGCTCAGGACAACGAGGAGCAGGAGGAAGAGGGTCAGCCCTTTGGCAAGCTGCTGCCGCTAAACGAAAGCCTCAGCACCACCGAGTGGATGGACGATGGAGCCCAGCGGGAACCGGAGGCGGAGGCCAGATCCCAGGCGGCCAGCATGGAGGTGAAGCAGATCAGCTTCGACAGCGACAGCGATGGCGATGGCGACTCCGATTCGGAGGCTGGACTGGATACCTCCGAGGTCACCATGGACGACGGCTATCCGCCGGATGCGCAAGTCGATGACAAGACCAAGCAGCTGGTCATCGGCGATGTGGAGGAGGACTCCGGCGACAACATGGAGTCCAACCAGATAACCGCCGACGTGATCAACGCCCGGGACAGCAAGATCGATCTGGTGTCCAAGTTCCTGCAGTACATCGAGCAGCAGCACCTGATGGGCTCCAACTGCGTGGCAGGCACATCTCTCAATCTGGGCGAGGGCGTGGTCGACCGGTATGCCCAGGACCGGTTCCGGGTGGAGGCCGAGGTGGCCGTCAATCGCGCCAATATGCTGACCAGGTGAGTGGACGTCACGGACAAAGTTTTCCCAGTTACTCTGCTCACATCATATTCACATGCCAAACTTTTCCAATCGAAAGTTTTCCGCCAGACGGTTGGCGAATGCAAGTGGAAATGGAAATGGAAATGGATTCCGCACCAAACAGCTGTGGCCAAGAAAGTAGTGTTCCTGCCCTGAAGGTCATTTGAGGGTGAAGATAGCTGCAGAATAATTTACTTAGATAGATACTGGCATACTTGGATATTAGACGATTATGAGATTATGTGATTAGCAAAACGCAGGATCCAAGAAACCATGGTAGGATGAAAACCAATCCCGATTATATTTCTAATACTCCGCCATTTGTGGGCATTAGTTCAAGAAGCATTCTAGTCCGTATCAGCTTCAGCCCATGAAGCCCTCGAAAAAGTTATTAAGCCATATTCACTCCTAATTTATATGTCACCATACACTGTGGACTCGTCCTCCTCCGGAACTTCCACCGCCACGGACAGCAAGTCCTCCTCGGAGGGCGAGAAGTCGTTGGGTATGTGAAAGGTCTGGCGAATCTCCTCCGCCGTGTGGCCCTTGATCATGTTGGCCACCGTCATGCAGGCGGCGTTCAGCAGATTCCGCATGTCCAGGTAGTTGGCCGCCAGGATGAGCTCGAAGAGAGTGCCCTGATCCATGGCCAGGAACTCCGCGTCCCAGGCACTGATCTGCATCATGGGCCTGGCTACTGCTTCCCACTCGTTTTCCTCTGCATCATCCTCCCGATGGTGGTTGGCCCAAGCGAGCACCTTCTTCAGAATCGCCGAGTTCACATTGGGCAGCGGGATAAGTGTGTCGTTCTCCGCCTCCAGTGGACAATCCTCCAGCAGGGTTTTAATGGTGCTCGAGCATTTCGCAGTCTCGATGTCGGTGTCGAAAATTTTGCCATCGGAGGACTGCAGTTTGATGACTGGCATGGTCCTCTTTTTCCCCAGAAAGGGTGTTCCTTTAAAGTTTTACAACTTTTACACAAAACCAAAAAGTGTCAACTTGACAATTAAAAATTAAATAAAACAGATTTGTTATGAAAGCAAAATTTGTGATTCCATCATATTTGAACAAATGTCCATGGGATGAAGAAGCATTTATTAATAATTTAGAACAATTTGTTTGTTTGAATAAGAGGTGCAAAATCGATTAGTTGCAGAAAATACACAATTGTACGTTTATTACATATTTACGAGTATTGTTGTATTAGTTGATTGCCATTTAAAATGTTTGTATTTACCATGTTGCACAATAGACATTTCAATTTGTACTCAAATTTATTGCTGCTTGCTATTGCAGAAAAATATGAAATATTTAAGGCTCACTTTGGATACGGAGATAAAAACAAAGCAAGATAAAATGCAATAGTCGAGTTCCCCGACTGTAATATACCCATTACTCAGCTAATGGAAAAACGAGAAATCTAAAAACTTTCCGAAATGTGGAAAAAAGTAATAAATTTATAAATTTCAACGCAGCTTTTTAGAGAATTGCGCCAGAAACATTTAGAGGTATGCCACTTCAAAATCCGATTAAGATATGTCGAGTTATGGAGTTTAGAACTTTAGCCCTGGGACACTTTTTCACTTTTTGGATTTCTACAACATCAGAAAAATTACAAAATAAAAATGAAAAAAAATAAATTTTTAAATTTGAATGCAGATTTTTAGAGAATTGCGCCAGAAACATTTAGAGGTATGACACTTCAAAATCCGATTAAGATATGTTGAGTTATGGAGTTTAGAACTTTAGCCCTGGGACACTTTTTCACTTTTTGGATTTCTGCATCAGAAAAATTACAAAAAAAATGAAAAAAAATAAATTTTTAAATTTGAATGCAGATTTTTAGAGAATTGTGCCAGAAACATTTAGAGGTATGCCACTTCAAAATCCGATTAAGATATGTCGAGTTATGGAGTTTAGAACTTTAGCCCTGGGACACTTTTTCACTTTTTGGATTTCTGCATCAGAAAAATTACAAAAAAAATGAAAAAAAATAAATTTTTAAATTGTAATGCAGATTTTTAGAGAATTGCGCCAGAAACATTTAGAGGTATGCCACTTCAAAATCCGATTAAGATATGTCGAGTTATGGAGTTTAGAACTTTAGCCCTGGGACACTTTTTCACTTTTTGGATTTCTGCATCAGAAAAATTACAAAAAAAATGAAAAAAAATAAATTTTTAAATTGTAATGCAGATTTTTAGAGAATTGCGCCAGAAACATTTAGAGGTATGCCACTTCAAAATCCGATTAAGATATGTCGAGTTATGGAGTTTAGAACTTTAGCCCTGGGACACTTTTTCACTTTTTGGATTTCTACAACATAAATACATCAGAAAAATTACAAAAAAAATGAAAAAAAATAAATTTTTAAATTTGAATGCAGATTTTTAGAGAATTGCGCCAGAAACATTTAGAGGTATGCCACTTCAAAATCCGATTAAGATATGTCGAGTTATGGAGTTTAGAAATTTAGCCCTGGGACACTTTTTCACTTTTTGGATTTCTGCATCAGAAAAATTACAAAAAAAATGAAAAAAAATAAATTTTTAAATTTGAATGCAGATTTTTAGAGAATTGCGCCAGAAACATTTAGAGGTATGCCACTTCAAAATCCGATTAAGATATGTCGAGTTATGGAGTTTAGAACTTTAGCCCTGGGACACTTTTTCACTTTTTGGATTTCTGCATCAGAAAAATTACAAAAAAAATGAAAAAAAATAAATTTTTAAATTGGAATGCAGATTTTTAGAGAATTGCGCCAGAAACATTTAGAGGTATGCCACTTCAAAATCCGATTAAGATATGTCGAGTTATGGAGTTTAGAAATTTAGCCCTGGGACACTTTTTCACTTTTTGGATTTCTGCATCAGAAAAATTACAAAAAAAATGAAAAAAAAAAATTTTTTTAATTTGAATGCAGATTTTTAGAGAATTGCGCCAGAAACATTTAGAGGTATGCCACTTCAAAATCCGATTAAGATATGTCGAGTTATGGAGTTTAGAAATTTAGCCCTGGGACACTTTTTCACTTTTTGGATTTCTGCATCAGAAAAATTACAAAAAAAATGAAAAAAAAAAATTTTTTTAATTTGAATGCAGATTTTTAGAGAATTGCGCCAGAAACATTTAGAGGTATGCCACTTCAAAATCCGATTAAGATATGTCGAGTTATGGAGTTTAGAACTTTAGCCCTGGGACACTTTTTCACTTTTTGGATTTCTACAACATCATACATCAGAAAAATTACAAAAAAAATGAAAAAAAATAAATTTTTAAATTTGAATGCAGATTTTTAGAGAATGGCGCCAGAAACATTTAGAGGTATGCCACTTCAAAATCCGATTAAGATATGTCGAGTTATGGAGTTTAGAACTTTAGCCCTGGGACACTTTTTCACTTTTTGGATTTCTACAACATCATACATCAGAAAAATTACAAAAAAAATGAAAAAAAATAAATTTTTAAATTTGAATGCAGATTTTTAGAGAATTGCGCCAGAAACATTTAGAGGTATGCCACTTCAAAATCCGATTAAGATATGTCGAGTTATGGAGTTTAGAACTTTAGCCCTGGGACACTTTTTCATTTTTTTGGATTTCTACATCAGAAAAATTACAAAAAAAATGTAAAAAAATAAATTTCTAAATTGATCCTGATCCAGAATATATATTCTTTATATGGTCGGAAACGCTTCCTTCTGCTCTGTTATGTTACATGTCTGTTACAATGCCTGTTACTTTTCAACGAATCTAGTATACCCTTTTACTCTACGAGTAAAGGGTATAACTGGGGATTTGGGGTTCATTTTCCATTCAACATCGCTCATTGCTCGTGGTTCACTATTCAGCAGATACTTTCCATTTTCTGCTCATCTAGATTGGCCCGTGTCCTTTGTCAACAAGGAGCATAATGTGCTTTTCTTGTTGCGGTGGCATAGTTGGCTGAACTAACACCGCTTTCCCTGCGATTTTCCTTCGATTTTCCTGTCCGCCTGGCTGCGTGCAATTTTTTGATAAAAGTTCAATTACTTAGCGTGGCAGGCGTGCCGGGCAAAAAGCTTGCGCCATTCTTGTGGCCAAAAGAAAGGCCAGCTGGCGGAGGACATTGATTTACCTGGACGGCCAAAACGCTGGCAATTCATTTGGTTTTTCTTGGAATTTCCAGCTGTCCAAGCTGTCCAAGCTTTGCAAACTGAGCAAGCTGGCCAGTCTGATGTGTGTGTGCCTGGCTTACTCGTGTCCATTCCGCTTCCATCATCGATTTGGCAGTATATCGTGTATCAGGATAACCGCCCCAGTGACAATCCCAAGGACATGCCAATGTTTTTTGAGCTCTGCTTTTCTTCTGCAGCTCTCCAGCAGCCAGGCACAATAAACACAAAGTTTCATCAGATTTCGCATATCTGGGTATGAAGTCCGAGCTCCAAAGTTTCGGACTCCAAAGTCCTGTGTGCTGCGTCCTGTGTTCCAAAGTCCAAAGTCCAAAGTCCCAGTGTCCCAATGTCCTTGCCTGCATACACGCATCGTATGTGTCAATGCCGATGGGGATGTGCTCCATGCAGACATTAGACCTGGAATTTATGTCCTTCTGTTTTTCTTGAGTGTCTTTGTGGCAAATAGCAATAGAGAAATCAGCAAAAAAGCAAACTTTTTCTAACCAAAGGGAGGGCAAAGTGGGTGTGTGGCTTCGTGCAACAGGCCAACATTGGCCATTGGATATTGTCCAACCCACGACGGTCACCAAATTCCGATGACATAATTTTCCAGCTAGGATGACAAGTTTTTGCGCGCTGATTGAGCCAGGAAATCAAGGCCATTTGTTAGCGAAAAACTCATTTGTTAAAAGCCACAAAGAAAGGACGACAGGACTACAAGCCGATGAATCCAAGGAACAATCGCCGCTTGTCAATAAAACACACAAATAAACAATTAAGCCAAACGACGAGCAGCTTGACAAATTAAGTGACTGAGGGAAAAGGCCAAAGAGGCGAGGAAAATGGGAAAAGCGGACAATGTCGTAACTTGGCCTGGGGAGCAATAAAATGTCAAAGTCACACTGTCAATAAATTAAATCGCAAACGGCCACGGATCCGGCGAGGGATCAACATTATTGCATTTAGTGTCATATGCCAGGCATTTGTTTTCATTATTTGTACAATGGGAAATGTGACCGCTGGGACTGAACTCCAGTTCCCCGATTTATCCAGCTTCACTTCCATAAATCTAATGGCATTCCAGAGCCGGGTTCATAATTTCAGGATGTCAGGATTTCAGGATTTCAGGAGGGGCGGCGGCTAATCAGTACCCGTTTTAATCAGTTTTCCCTGTGTTAATGTAATCAAGGGTGGCCGGAAAACGTTCATCTTCGGCGCGAAGCGGGAAATGAAGAGGCGGAAAACAAAGGAATAGCGCAGTGAAAGCTACACAGATAGATACTAATTGAAGTTATTGTTTTGTGATACATTGTTATCGCCCTGGAAGCCAAGGATCCTGTTCCTGTGTTACCGCTCGCTTTTTTGGCTGGGCATTTCCCGTTCACTTTGTTGCGCAAACAAAAACAAGGATAACATTTAAGGAAAACAAGGGGCGCAAGGAGTCGAAGGTGGGCCGGAGGGGGCGGGCTAAATGGCAGTCAGGAAAAACAATATCAATTCAAGTTGAAATTACGAGCTTCAATTGTTTTCTTGCCTTGGCCACTTTTCGTTAGTTTGCGTTCACGCCGCCAAAGTGCAGACGGCAAACAGAAAGGAAAAGCGACTTCAGCGCGGCACACACGGCACAAAAGCTGGGGGAAAAAAGGAAAAGTGTGGCAGTGTGGCAATGTGGCAATGTGGCGGATGGAATCGGAAAACTTTTAAGTACTTAAATGTGTTGTCGTCGCGCAGAGAGAAGGTGAGAATCGTGCGAAGGACCTGCTGCTTTTTCATGTCCTGAAATTGAGTTTCCGGTTGCCTGTTCTCCGCCAACAAAACTCCTTTGTTGCTACAACTGACTTTTGCGACTT